CATCACTCTTGAATTACCTATATGTATATATTTCATATATGGCAGGCAGAGGATCGAACTTTCTAACCAACACTTACATATGTAAAATATATAGAAAGCTTAAGAAATCTCGATATTCGTATTTCAACAATTCATTCAATTTTATCTGAGATACTGACCTTGAAATACATACATACTTCTGTTCAATGATGAACAAACAAAATATTTTAAATACGAAATGCGCTCCGAATATTTTCGTTATGAAGCTACCAGCAATCTCCTAAAGTTAATTTAATTCTAACCAACAAATGTCTCTTAGAAGAACAATTTCGTCATGCTGTTGCCGAGTTTGCTTTTAGTCCAAATATAGCGAAAAGCGGACCTAAGGAAATTGCTTACACCGGCGGCTGTACTTTAAAATTAAATAGGTGCAAAAGCTCATTTAAGCTTCTTTCTTTATTTCTTGAAGCACTAAAAAATGAACCCCTAATTATCTCAACATTTTGGCTACTAGATTTTTATAGTAAAATTTTTCGTATAGTTCAAAGTTGTTTTTGTATGAAAGCTTACGTATAAAGGTATGCTATGTAGATACATACATAAGTATATACTATAAGTTTAAAAATACATTAACGTATAATTCTTTTTGGGAATACATGCATATTTATAAAAACACAATTATTTTTTAATTAAGTCTATATACATATTTATTACGTATCAACATACATCGATGAGTTTACCTGCAACGCAAGTTTCTATTTTTTTATAAGCACTAAGACATCTACAATACAAATATGTACAAATGTATAAAAATATTCGTACCTACATATGTATGTAAATAGAATTACCATTGACTGCCTTTTTGAGGCATGTTAATTTTCATAATTACATTATTTCGATTTCATTCGCAATTATTAAAAGTCTTTAAGTTTTGTTAAGTACTTAGTTACTTTTTAGTTACTGTAATACATTTTTTTTGTTTCTTTTTTTTTGTTAGAGAGCGCACGACTTGCCATAACAACGCCCATGTCAACCTCGTATGTTTTTCGAAAAAGATCAAAGACGTGAGAGCTTACGTTATTAATTTATATACATTATTTTAAATATGTAGGTACATACCAGGGTTGTTGCGAATATTCGCATTCGCATTCGCAACGGCGGAGCTTCCACATTAATTTTAATATTGGCATTCGCAATTATCAATGCGGAGCTTTTGCGAATGCGAATGTTGTGAAAGTGCACCGATAAAACGTATATCTGTGTAATATTGTATATTTGTGTAACAAAACTGGTAAAATTTCGTATTTATCAACTCAGATAAAAGTATCTTTAATCATAATATTTGCTAAGCTATATAACCGAGCTATCAATGGGCAGTCATAAAGTTCACACTTCTACTTGACCTTTGACGTACGTCAAAGAGAACACAGTCCTTTCAACGCTATTTTTTTATGTTTTCTGTGCTTTAAATACCTGCAATGATTTCTTTCTTTATTATGATTTTTTTAGACCAATCTTAAAAAAAACTACCAGACATAAAATAAGAAAGTGTGCACGACAATTTTAAACCAAACTTTCGTGATTTGGTTTGGATGTTACATATATTCGTTTAAATTATTTCAAATGGAAAATTTATTTTTAGGAACAATTTCAAAAACAGCAATTTTGTTTACTTGTCGGGCAATATTTTTTTTTTATTGATATACATTGGATCCTTGGCTAAAAACTTATGTGGCAAAACTGTCGCCCTACGTATCCCTTCTGTGCTATTTAAAGTCAAAGAGTAAGCTCCATCAATTGGGATTTCCAGCAGAAATGTTCAATGTCTGGCTACAGAGACTTGATGCTCAAATAATTAAAAGGCTATACGTTTGACCTTTAATTAGGTAAGAATTACGCTACTATCTGAGACCCTCATCATTTGTGATTCCAATAACTCAAATGCTTATAAAAAATCTTGTTTTTTTTGTTCAAAATTTCTATTCCTAGAAAATAGTAATTTATTTTCCATATCCACCACCAGTCGCAGAAGAAGGTATTAAAAATGCATTATCAAAACCACAATCGAAAAACGCTGATGATGTTACGGGTTCCCCAAATTCTGAAACAGCCAAAGGAATGAGAATGAAGAATTCTTTTTAAAAAGCTTTAGAAAGGCTGATTTGGCTTGTAAGCGGAGTTTAAACAACGATCTCGCCATTATGCTATTTTCAGATCCGATGCAATTCTCATTACCTTTTATTAAATATAATGTTCCAATTTTTGAATTCAAGTACTAAAAAAAATAAATATTATTAAAAATTACTAACTTTTCCATTTTTTATTTACCTAAGTAACTTAATTTACTTACCAAATTGTTTCTTAAAAATACTTGACATCCGCATTCGCATCCGCGGATGTCTAAAATTCCACATTCGCAACATCCCTGGTACATACTATATATCTATGTACATTAAGTTAGAAACCATAATAAAATACACATTTCAGCAGTGTATAACTTTTGAGCAGCTTATGTTTTTCTTAATTTTCTAGAAAAAACTCCAAAAATTTCGTTCAGGCAATAAAATTTCCAAACTAAAGGAAACAACTAACACCCTAATGCACTTTAATGTCTAACTATCATATAGACGATTTACAACTGTGTATTCTGTCTTTTTTTATATAAATGTACAACAGCTTACATAAGTATAGGATACTTGAATAATAAATACTTCTAGTAAAGCTAAGTCAGCAGGAAAAATAACCGGAGCAAGTGGGACTACAAAATTTTATAATGAAACCAATTTTTTTGTCTCTTATTTATGGCATAGTACCAGTTCATGGGCATAAATGCCAATTGTTTTTTAAGTTTTCTTTACATGATATAATGTGAAACGATTTTCCGTCATCCCTTGTCAAATTTGGTTTGGAGACAAACCGATTTCGGCTTTGTGCCATCTTCAGTGTAACTCTTCGTTCTCTACATTTTATATACATTCGGGTGGTTCTTAATAATATCAACATATAAATTTTGTATGTGGCACCCCTTTATTTTGTTCTATGTACAAAATAAAGAATTTCAATATCAAAAAAAAATTTTTTTTTGGCGTCAAAAAATATGAATAAAACACTAATTTCTAGTTTGAGTTTTTAGAAAATTCTTAATTTTGTGGACTATTTTTTCAAACTTTAATCAAAACAATAAATATTAAATATAAAGGACTGGTTAGACAAAATTTGTGTATTTTTGATAGAAAAACTTAAGAACAGTGCCGAAAAATTAAAATTTTCTTAAAATTTTTTTTCAGATTCTGTTAAATTTTTTTTTTATTGATTCCATTTTTTGTTCATCTGTTGAATAGTTTGGTTATATGTACATATGTATGTTCTTAAATTTTAAGACGTGCGACAAAACACATATTTCGATTTGCGTGAGCTGGACCAATTTGAAAATACCTCCACAAATCGACTTTCATAAATAAAATTAGTTTTCTTTTAATATTTATTCCAAAAACTCACTTCAGGTCATATTAGACTTTAGATTAAAAGGTCTGCATATAAATTTTTAACAATTTAATCACCGGTTTCAAAATAATGACATCTTTTTGAAGTTATTGTTAAATCGGCTAATCCCACGCAAATGTTAATATTTTCCGAAAATGTATTGGCGAAAGTCTTCAAATATAATAGATTTTATA